ATTAATTATTCACCCAGACCAGACGGGTTTTATTAAAGGACGGCACTCTTTGGATAATTTGCGTAGACTATTCAATATGATTTTCACCAGCCAACAACACAATTTATATGTCATAATTACCTCATTAGATGTGGAAAAAGCATTTGATAGAGTCAACTGGAAATTTCTTTTTACAACATTGCAGAATTTTGGCTTTGGGAGATCATTCATCCAATGGAGCAGGACATTACATACATCACCCATGGCTACAGTCACTACTAACGGGCTCACCTCCCAGAGTTTCACACTGCAGAGGGGCACTAGACAAGGATGCTCATCGTCTCCATTTTTATTCTCTATTTTTATAGAACCACTAGCAGCAGCAATCAGACAAAATAGAAACATCAGAGGTACAATTACACAAAACACACAACACAAGATCAGCCTCTATGCAGATGATATATTGTTATACCTACAGGATCCATGTAACTCTCTACAAGAGACAATAGCACTTATGAATACATCCAAAATATCTTGCTATTCAATCAACTGGTACAAATCTATAATTCATCCAATCTACAATGGTGGTCGTAATGGTGTACCCCAAACCCTATTCCCTGCCTTCACCATTGGCAACATTAAATACCTGGGCATCATATCCTCCAAATTGTCAGAGCTCTTTAATTTTAAACCACTGCTGAAAACCATAGTGCACTTACCTATTTCATTACTTGGTAGAACAGCAACTATAAAAATGTCAATCCTCCCAAAAATAAATGATGTATTTACAAAGATCCCTGTTCAACGACCCACTAGCTGGTTCAAGTCACTCGATCCTGCAATAACTAAATTTTATTGGAAAAATAAAAACCCAAGAACTGAACTTTCTACACTACAAAAAGCAAAGAACTAGGAGGGCTTGAAGCACCGAATTTTTATATATATCTGGCAAGCCAACTGCAACATATATATATATATATATATATATATATATACACACATATATATATATATACACACACATATATATGTAGAGATTTATAAAAATCTCTCTATATAAAAATATGATCTCACTTTACTTACACAGCAGAAACAATACGCATAACTGTCATAACAGAGTATCGACATCAAAACATTCAGAACTACAGTACAGCAGATTTACAATTCAGTGCTACCACAAAGTGTCAGATCTTTGACAGGTGCTCACCTTTGTTTGATTTTGCAGCCTCACTTGTCCAGTTGTGTAACATCATCACCAGCAAAAACACACTGGGCTACAGAGTCATTTCACCCCTGAAAGTGTTATGATAACCTTGTGTGAAACCTGTCACTGGACATGAAATAGACAAAAGCAGCCTTTATGAGAGCTCATGCTTATTGGAATAAACCTGTATGAATGTTTATGTAGGTGTCCTACAGCAAAGTGTTACTTATAGTTGTCATATTACACAGGGACATATAAACAAACCATAATATCTAATTTATATTGAATCCTAAATTGAGCTCAAAGCCAAAACGGGGGTAAGCAAAGTGTAAGAAATCTGATACATAAATACAACACACAAAGACTCATCTTTTATTATTGTGGTTGAGTTAAAAGAAAAGGATAAGGCGAAATATGTACTAGATTGATTTAATAAATATAACAGAAAAATAAAAATTTACAATTAGTAATATTTGTAATCATGAAATGGAAATAATGGTAGTGAGTGTGTAAAAGATACATTTTCCAAGATTCCCCATGGCATTCATCCATTTCAGAAACATGACAGAACAAAATTAGGTACTAAAAAGGTAACAAAGTTAATAAGAACAGAACATGTTAGATGTGATCTACAATCGTAGTTGTACACACTCCGGATTGTTCCTGTTAGCACTTTTACATATATGGATTTAACCAGATAATCTCTGCTGTATTTCCCATCATTACTTCAGGTTTTTATAAATCGAAAGTGATTTGTCTTAAGAAACCAGGCTGGGAGAGATAAGGATACTGTTACAAGAAACCAAAATAACAAACAATATCAAAAAAAGAGTAATGACAATAGAAATGGCACAAAGGAAGACTAAGCAAGGCTAGGCCTCGGTTTGATGTAATGTCCTCTGGTATGCTGAAACAACAGAAAACAGTGACAGAGAGCCTCCCCGACCGAAAGGCGGTGGGAACCTGGAAGAGGGATGAGACAGCGAGCTAGAAAACTGCAGCCAGTATGGTTGGATTCCCTTCTACTGTTGGGAGGTCTGTGACAAAGTCCGTTGACAGATGTGACTGGGGCTTTTGTGGTACGGGTAAAGCTTCCAAAGTCCCAGCAGGTAACTGATGTGGGTTTTTGGCTCAGGTGCATATTGAACAAGAGGTGACATCATTTTGGAGATCAGAGTTCAGGCCTAGCCACCAATATCTGGAGGACAACAGTTGCTGTGTTCGAGTACCTCCTGGGTGAACTGTTGCTAGTGAGGTGTGTGTGTCTAGGTGACAAGCCCTACCCCTAAAGGCCTCTGGCAACAGCATCTTCAATCTCTTTGTCAATATCCCAGAGGATGGGAGCAGCCAAGCAAGTTGGCTGTATTATGGGTTCTGTAACAGAGTCTCATGGATTGTGGTGAACACGTGACAAGGCATCAGCTTTAGTGTTCTTAGAACCTGTTTGGGAGAAAATGGTCATCTAATATCGACTGAAAAACAGCCCACCTGGCTCAGCGAGAAGTGAGACATTGAGCCGAATGTATTAGGTTCCAGTGATCACTGTAGACTATGAACAGCTCCCTCTAACCAATGTATCCACTTCTCCAGGGCCAGCTTTAATAGCAAGGAGCCCCCAGTTGCCACATCATAGTTCTATTCAGCTGGTGTCAATTTTTTAGAGAAGAAGCCAACTGAGTGTAGATGGTTCTCCTTGCCTTTGGGACAGTACCGCCCTGACGTCCACCTCAACTACAAAGGGGTGCTGAAGGTTGGTGACTGTGGTAAATCTCCGCTGAAGACCAGGAGAGCCTGTGTGGAGCGCCTTGGAGGAGCACAGTGAGTCGGGCGGCGATGGTGCTGAAGTTTCTGATGAAACAATGACAGACGTTGGCAAAGCCCATAAACCACTGAAGCTTCCTGGGTCAGGACCAATTCAACACAGCCTGCACCTTTCACTCCTCCATACTTATACCTTCCAGGGAGATGATGTAACCTAGGTTAGATGGAATTGGCGCTTCTCTGCCTTTCTGCAACCTTGCCAACACTGCCCTCAGCGTAACTTCACTGTGACATTGTTACGTTTTCTATTCCAAGTTTCGTTAAGTTTCTACCATAATGTGGAGCATGTTGTTCTGACAGAATGTTGGGGTGATTCTATGACAAACATGTTCATGGTTTGTAATGTTCATTTCCTCCTTGCATGAGTAGTGGTTAGGTTTTCTCTTGGACCATCCCTGAGCCTGAGGGTCATCCATCTATGGTGTTGACCGGAAGCTTTGGCTGGCATGTGTGCACTGGGATCTCTGACCAGATGCTGATTAATAAAACTACCAGCAGCTCCAGAATCCAATATTCCGGTAATGGTTGTTATCACTCCAATACAACAAAATCTTTACTTAAAATGAAACGTGGTGTTAGGTAAAGTCTCACTCACCATGTCATCAGTGCAGCTTTGGCGACTGTCTGGTCTGAGTTTACAGTTAGCACGCAGATGGTCAGAGCCACCACAGTAGAGACAGGGGCCAGCCTGTGACTTCCATGGGCTCAGGGGCATCAACAGATGCTGAGATGGTAGGCCTGGGAGTTCCACGTGGGCATCGTTCTTTTAGAAGACTGTCCAACTGGATGGCTAGGGAGATGAGCTGGTCAAGGCACAGGCAGTGATGACAGCAAGCAAGTTCTGTATGTAGCTCCTCACACAACCCTCTGAGAAATACTGTGATGAGTGATCTCTCATTCCGACTACTAGCAGCAGCCAAAGCCCGGAATGTCAGGGCATAGTCTGCAGCAGGGCTTTTCCCTTGAGTGAGTTTGAGTAGGTTCTCACCCAGCTCCCTTCCCTCTGTGGGATGGTCAAACACGGTGCCCACAATATGGTAGTAAAGGAATCAAAGGAGCGTGTCTACTCCTCCTGTTGTTCCCTGATGGCTATGGCCTATTCTTGGGCTCTTCCTGTAAACAGGGAGACTATGAAAGCAATTTTAGTAGAGCCAATAGAAAAACTGAACGGATTATGGATTATGTATAGAAAATATTGCAACATAAAGGCTCTGTATGCTGTAGAATCAATATCATACGGATTAGGCTTAGTCTGTATTTAGTAACTGCTCTTTTTTGGTTTCTTCCTTTGTTCTAATTAAATCTTCTGCAACAGTATCCTTAACATTCCCAGCCTTGTTTCTTATTACAGAAGGCTTTGTCAGATTAAACGGATGCTGCAGAGGATACTACAACAGGCACTGAGCAGAGGCAAACATCTCCCTGTTATTCTAAAATCACTAATCAAGGTTATGCTAACAAGAGATAACAACAGACTAACAGGACAAACAAAAAGATGAACAGAAGGCTCGGCACAAAATACACAGGTTCATGCTAACGCTAATGTCAATGCCAATGTACAGACAGATATCAAGGACTGTCACAATGTACAGGAAGATGCTAATGCTAACGGTAATGGACAAATACAAACAGAACCTAATTATGGAAGACATATGCCCAGTCCCGATTCTTCTTTTTACCCTACCCCTTGTTTTCGAGTGTCACCCTGACCCCTTGGAACTGAGTTACAGGGTAGTGGTTGAATCTTCCTCTGAAATGGGACCCTCAAATAAAAAGAGCATCACTTCATTAACAGCTACCAGCGCTGCTCTGTAGGAGACCCTGCCAGTCTGCAGTGACAGCAGAGGAGGGTAAAGTTCAGCTCCTCACTGCTGGGCTTTAGTTACATTTAGGGCATCATATGATCTTCAAAGAGGGGGGCAATTATTTATTATCGCCCACCACTAATTCTTCAGTGATATGAAGCTGAAGTCAGATATTCACCAGATTCTTGTTCGAATTTTCCCGTTCCACCTTAAATGGAGCAGCAGTTACATTCTGGCGCTTCAGGCGTCAGAACTGCTGGACTGTTTAAGGTGGAACGGGGAAGTTAGCTAGCTAGTTACCGAGACATTAGCATGCTATTAGCATTTTTTTATGCTTGTAGAAACCGTACAGAGAAAACAATTCCACTGTGCTTTTTAAAGATCTGTGATGTTGCATGAGTCCTGGTATTTAATACACTGCCTCCATATATTGATACTGTTTTTATATTGCAATACTGTGTTTGATTTTTTTCATTTTTGATTGATATTTTAAGAAAAGGTGCAGGGTACATTTAGTGCTGGATCTCTTTTTAGTTAATAATTAATAATTAATTGTGTAAAGGTGTGCTAATTTTAATCAGAGCCCAGTACACCGCCCAGCCCACAGAACCAACACTCAGAACCAGGAATAACGTCCAGACAGCGTAGATTGCTCTGTACTCCTCAGCCTCCTGCCAGGTGGAACCCTGTTTAAGAACCAAACATTACAATAAATTATACTTACACTCAACAGTGTTGTTTACACATTAATATATCTAGAACAGTTCTACATCAGTTTAATCTGCCTCAAATCTACATTTTTCAGGAAAACCTCCTGACTGACCATCTTAGATCGGCTTCAGTCTTTCAGGAAATAACGTCACTGTGGCCAAAAGACAGTTTACAAATGTATAGGCTTGTATCTTTATTAGGTTCTGAGATATAGAGGCTTTACAAAGTGGGTGTGGCCTTAGTTTTTTGCTTTAATACTAGTAAAATGGAGAAGAGTGTAAGTTGTGATGTCATAACATTTGAACTATTTATGCATGACATTATCAGGGATGGCTGATTTGTTTAAGATGTACACAATATGGCTAAAAGTATGTGGACATCTATATGAGTTTGTTGGACGTCCCATTCCAAAACCATGAACATTAATATGGAGTTGGTTCCCCTTTGCAGCTACAACAGCCTCCACTCCTCTGGGAAGCTTCCTACAGAACAGCATTGTCTGTACAGAACAGCATCTGTGAGGTCAGACACTGATGTTGGTTGAGAAGGCCAGGGCAGATCTAGCAGGGAAGAAATTTCTTAAACTGACTTGAGGCAGAGGTGGCATCCTATGTCAGTGCCACGTTTACTGCCAAGTCACTGAGCTCTTCAGTACGACCCTCTACTGCCGGTGTTTGTCTGTGGAGACTGCAAGGCTATTTGCTTGATTTTATATACCTGTAAGCAATGGGTGTGGCTAAAACAGTAATTAGGAGGGGTGTCCACATACTTTTAGCCATACAGTGTATCTAACCAGCAACACTACTGACTGAGTACAGTAAATTCATTTCTGAAAGTCTGAAGTAAATCAGATGTCCACAGGAGGCCGTCAGTGATTTCTGAAGTATTGACCCTCAGTTATTTATCAAGACATTAAAGTGATGATATATTCACCATGAGCACTCCAGCGACGACGGCAAACAGGACAGCAGTGAGCGTAAAGTAAAGGCAGCGTTTCTGAGGGTAATCTCGCCCAATAAAGCTCCTGAGAGAGACAGAGAGAACCCAGAACATCAGAGAACTCTTCAGGGTCATTAATATACAGTAATTAGAAAAGATTCAGTGAGTTAAACAGGTCTTACACTTTACGGCACCGAGGACAGCGAACTCGCTTCTTCACTGTTAAAGGAGGAACCTGAAAAACAGACAGTCTTTAGATAGAACCCTGAAAAACAGAGGAAGTCTTCAGATAGAACCCTGAAAAACAGAGACAGTCTTCAGATAGAACCCTGAAAAACAGAGAGTCTTCAGATAGAACCCTGAAAAACACAGGAAGTCTTCAGATTTAACCCTGAAAAACAGAGACAGTCCTTAGATAGAACCCTGAGAAACAGAGACAACCTTCAGATAGACCCCTGAAAAACAGAGACAGTCTTCAGATAGACCCCTAAAAAACAGAGACAGTCTTCAGATAGAACCCTGAAAAACAGAGACAGTCTTTAGATAGAACCCTGAGAAACAGAGACAACCTTCAGATAGACCCCTGAAAAACAGAGACAGTCTTCAGATAGACCCCTAAAAAACAGAGACAGTCTTCAGATAGAACCCTGAAAAACAGAGGCAGTCTTCAGATAGAACCCTGAAAAACAGACAGTCTTCACATAGAACCCTGAAAAACAGAGGCAGTCTTCAGATAGAACCCTGAAAAACAGACAGTCTTCAGATAGAACCCTGAAAAACAGAGGAACTCTTCAGATAGAACCCTGAAAAACAGAGACAGTCTTCAGATAGAACCCTGAAAAACAGACAGTCTTCAGATTTAACCCTGAAAAACAGAGACAGTCCTTAGATAGAACCCTGAGAAAAAGAGACAGTCTTTAGATAGAACCCTGAAAAACAGAGACAATAATGGACTGGTAAAGGAGAACCTTGTTGTTAGTTGTGAGCAAATAAGCTTCATACCAGGAATGTTTGTCTGCAGTGTCCACAGCTGACTGTGGTTCCACCGTACTGCCACTCAGTACCGCTCGATCCTGAACCGGTCAGATCTATTACTCTCTTACTGAGAACAGACAGAACAAAACAATCAGACAGAAAGAAACACATATTAGAACCCAAAAAGTTAAGAGAACCCAAATTCTACACAATTTTTCCCCTGAAAGTTCCCTTATGATGTTTGTGTGGGTTTAGGTACCAAGAAAACTGTCTGAATTAATTTTGATATGAATTAATTTGATATTTTCCAATCTCTCTTCATCCCCTACACATATTAATGTATGTAAATGAGCTCTGCTCTGACTGGCTGCGAGACCGGGGTAAATAATAAAGTTCAGCTGCTCCTTTCGCATCTGAGGATCCTTCAGAAAACTGTAAAAATAAACTGTAAACAAAAGCTGCAGTTAGCCGTGAGTGGCTGAGCTACAGGCTGGTAACAACACGTGCAAGTTAGTTTGCGTACATGGATCTCAGCTGAGAAGGTGGTTTTAAGAGGGAACATGGAAGTGATCCTGGAGTAATAGTTTATATTAAAAATACATTTTATAATATTTTATAACAAAGCTATCATAAAACAATGTCTCAGGTATCAAGCAATGCATTCATAACCATTTAATGTAATAACAGGATGTAGCTTTTAGACCCATTAAATGCTTAACCTCTTATTCTCCAGGGTATATTTTGGTTTGTCCATCTGAATTTAAGTGACCAAATCATAAGGCAAATTATTCAGTAACTGCATGAAATAAATGTACATTTTTATTTATTTATTTTTTGTAAAAGCTCCCCTCAAATTAACAAACGTGTTTTATGATACACATATTGATATATGCTTACAATTTACTGCTGAAAGACAAAAATCTTAGACTCTTTGTATTATTTTATAAAAGTAATGTTTACAGAGCAGATCACTGAAGAGACGCCATCTGTTTATAGTTTATAGCCCAGGTTTGTGGAAAAATGGGTCGACTTTCAGTAGGAAAAAAATAGTGAGTTCAGCTTCTTTTATTATAAGGGTTTAAAATTAAACCAACCACCGGTGGTTCCAAGGAGCATAAGAGGACGTCTGGTTCCTGGAACTATCATGGTAAACAATTCTGACTCAGTAAATTTCCCCAGAAAGGCGCATTTCACACCAAACCACTCTGAGTGATTTTGTTTACATCTAAACCACTGAATGAATATATAATTTTGCACAATGGGTGGAGTTGCCCTTTAAGCTCTTTACTCTGTTTCCACTTCTCTATTGTCTGACTTTCACTTCTCCTTACCAGTGTGGACGGGGACAGGCCACTCTCTGGGCAGACGCTCTGCAGATCAGGAGACAGTTACAGGGGCAGCGCACAAACACCTTGCCTGCAGGGGGGCTCCTTACAGGCTGTATTGGGGGAGAGGGGGAGAGGGGGGGAGAGGGGGGGGCAGATATAATCTACTTTCAAGTTATATCGAGTTATGTCATTAATCGGGTTCAGTTCTTCAAAGATGCACATTAAAAATACTAAAGAACAAAAAGGAAGTCAGTATGGGTCAATAAAGTCAGTAAGGAGCAGTAAGGGTCAGTAACGGTCAGTAAGGGTCTGTAAAGGTTAGTAAGGGTAAGTACTGATCATTAAAAATCAGCACAGAGTCAATAAAGGTCAGTAAGGGTCAGTTATGATCAGTAAAAATCAATTAGGAGTCATTAAAGGTCAGTAAGGGTTAGTAATGATCAGTAAAACTAACCAAGGAGTCAATAAAGGTCAGTAAGCGTCAGTAATGATCAGTAAATATGAATAAGGAGTCAATAAAAGTCAGTAAGGGTCAGTAATGATCAGTAAAAATGAATAAGGAGTCAAAAAAGGTCAGTAAGGGTCAGTAATGATCAGTAAATATGAATAAGGAGTCAATAATGATCATTAAAAGTCAGTAAGGAGTCATTAATGGTCAGTAAGGATCAGTAATGATCATTAACAATCAGTAAGGAGTCATTAATGAGGTCAGTAACGGTCAGTGTAACTCACTGTGGCCTCCTGGCAGACGCTGCACTTCACGATGCTCTGAGTGCTGTCGGCTTTCACACTGATTAGAGCTCCACAAACACTGCAGCTCAGCGACACCGAGCCATCGTCTGCTGCTGACCAGTACGGAGGGGGGGCTTCCTGACCAGGGAGGGCCTCCTGACCTGAGAGGGCCTCTTGACCTGAGAGGGCCTCCTGATATGGGGGGGCTGAGGGGGCGTCTGAGGAGAAGCAGAGGGAAATAAGACCAAGGAGAGCAGCATGGAGGAGAAGAGAGAGACGGACGGGTAGAGAACAGACAGAGTCCAGTTTGTAATAATCGTGAAAAGTTAATAAAACAAGATATTGATAAAAACAGAAACAGCAGTGAAATATCAAAACACTCAGACTGTGTGTTCTGTTAAATACTCACAGTTCCACACACGGGATGCTCCTAAAGCTGTTTGTGTTCTTAAGGGGATAAAGCTGTCCAGTAGCACACCAAGGTCACGTTCTAGATCTTTAGATTTGGGGCTCTCGAGTCAGAAAGGCAGCTAGTCTGAGCCTCTCAGTGCTTTTCCCAAATAAAATAACCTCTGTTTCATTTTTAGCAACTCTCAACACCTCGACTATGTTTGTCTGTTAGATGGGATCTTTTATTACTGTGTGTTTGTGTTTGTTATGTTTTATGAAATATAAGCTATTTTACAGTGCCTTTTAACTCTGGCTCAGTGCTGCTGACACTTATTAACCATGTAAAAATAATTTAGTAAAATAAAACAGTAAAAATTAAAACACTCAGTTATTGGTTCAGATATGTGAATGACAGCTGGGATCAAAGATCAAAGTTTATTCAACAAAACATTATTCAGCACAGCTGAGTGAGTCGAGTTGATGCTCTTATTGGGCAAAATTGAAGTATATTGTGCAACGTTTTCAGTGTAAAAGAATAAACAGTTGTTTGCATGTGTGAAAACAGTCGGCGGCACCGGAAATAAGCGAGCAGCGTCGCCGCGAGACGCAGCTAAACACTTTTGGACCAGCGCTGAAACCAAATACATACTTTACGAAATGAAGGAATTCAAATATTCTTCATCTGCCAGATGATATATGTTCAGAATTTCAGGTAAAGTGGTGCAATATTTAAAAAAGAATAGCCGCAACATGAAGTTTAAACTCTTTATGTTTACGTCGCGTCTTCTTCTGTGAGTTTATTGGCTGGTTGTAAAGCATTAATCCAATTACTGCCTGATTCATATTGACCTGAAGTTTCCCCATTATCTGATTACCCAAGAGCATGAAAACCAGTTACTGACACAATCTGATTTTCTGCAGTTATCAGATTATTAAGTGTAAACACACTGAACCGGTTACTGACACAATCTGATTTTCTGCAGTTATCAGATTATTAAGCGTAAACACACTGAACCTGTTACTGACACAATCAGATTTTCTGCAGTTATCAGATTATTAAGCGTAAACACACTGAGCCGGTTACTGACACAATCTGATTTTCTGCAGTTATCAGATTATTAAGCGTAAACACACTGAGCCGGTTACTGACACAATCTGATTTTCTGCAGTTATCAGATTATTAAGCGTAAACACACTGAACCGGTTACTGACACAATCTGATTTTCTGCAGTTATCAGATTATTAAGCGTAAACACACTGAACCGGTTACTGACACAATCTGATTTTCTGCAGTTATCAGATTATTAAGCGTAAACACACTGAACCGGTTACTGACACAATCTGATTTTCTGCAGTTATCAGATTATTAAGCGTAACACACTGAACCGGTTACTGACACAATCTGATTTTCTGCAGTTATCAGATTATTAAGCGTAAACACACTGAACCGGTTACTGACACAATCTGATTTTCTGCAGTTATCAGATTATTAAGCGTAAACACACTGAACCGGTTACAGACACAATCTGATTTTCTGCAGTTATCAGATTATTAAGTGTAAACAGACTGAACCGGTTACTGACACAATCTGATTTTTTTATTTGAATTTTATTTATCCTATTTTGATTTTTAATTAATGATTTTCTCTTTTAAATCTATGGTTTTAAACATGTTTTTAATTTCTGTTCCCTATTTTGAATTTTAAATGACTGTATTTTCTCACTGTAAAGCCCTTTGAGTGACAGCCGTGTGTGACAGGTGCTGTATAGATAAACCTGCTTTCAGCCGGTGCTGAAGACCAAACTAAAACAGGCCAAACCAAAAGACGCCACGGTCAGTGACTGATGGGTAAACCTTCCTGCGCAGTGACAGAGCTTCACTCACTCCCTGCAGTTTAAAGCTCCGTCTGAACCGAACATTTACTCTGAAGGGACCATCTGGACCATCTGGACCAACAGAACCCTGCAGTGAAAAAGGAAGTCAAGGGCGACCATTCAGCTCCTAAAACCTCAGACGCGGGTAAACAAAAGATCAAACTGTCTGTATTTACTCTGTACAAACACTTCGAATATTCCGTTCCACCTTAAATGGTGCTGCAGTGACATTCTGAGACCGTTTAAGGTGGAACGAATAGTTCGAATCAGGAGGTGACTTCAGTCCAGCTTGGCTCAGTGACCGTTTCAGACGGACAGCGCTGTTTATACGCGCTGGACCTGTTTATTAAACAGGGTGGTTACAGCGTTGTTGCTGTTCTGGTTACAGTACTGAGGTTCTGCGGTTCTGAGGTTCTGAGGTTCTGTCTGCGCTGCTGTCAGTGACTCAGGCTCGATTCTCAGTTCACAGCTGAACCGTTCCTACAGTTCCTACAGTTCCTACAGTTCCTGGTTAAATAACTCACTGTCTGAGCAGAGCAGCGGAGTTTTCTCTTCATCCGCCATTCCCAGAATTCCCAGAACTCCCAGAGCCCGGCGGTCCGTCACACAGTCCCTCAGGAATAAAACAGCTGGAGGAGAAAAACCAAAACCTGGAACCCAAACAAACAGCAGCTTCCGCATAGAGAGCGCCTGACTCTGAGGGGGCGGGGCCTCAGCGGCCCTGCGTCATCCACAGTCACGT